GTGCGACTTATTCTTCGCCAACGTTTGATGGAACTTGTTGGCCTTGCACTCAGAACAAGCAGTCATATCTTGTTCATGCCCAACCGGATCCGGTTCATCGTTTTTAACTCCTGGGTTGAGCTGTCTTCTCGTAGAAGTATTAATGCCACAGCATACACAATATAGTCGTGGATGCCGTGGTAATAGCACTCAGCATTTGTTAGCTCCAGTATTTGATTATACGCATACGGACTTGTCAAATGCCTCTGAACCGACCACAAACTCTCTATGGCCAATCAAATATCGCCCCAGATGCACCAAGAGTAGTGCTATCATCAATATCTAAGCATCCGATGATCACGTGGAGATGCAAGACTGCTCTCTATGCGCTGCCAAATTTCAGTCCACCCTGGAAAAGTTCATTCACAGTCACAGGATTGTGTTAGCCTGTCATGTTGGCAGTCAGTGACAATGATCATCCTATCATGTACCTTAAGCCTCGATTAAGGCTGTTTTTGTTATTGGCTGATATTCGAGCAGCCCAATAAGCCTCCTAACGGAAGCATACTTCTGGTGAAAAGTGGAGTGGCCATCACTTCCGCTCACCGAGGTCAGTGCTTACTCTGAATTTAGTGTAATTCGACGTTTTTTCGAGATGCCTCGTGGAAAGTCAAACAACCCTCTAATCCAGGTGTCACTTGTTCTTTTCTGTATGGCGCCGTAAAATTCGGAATACCACGATCCCAGCCACAATCAGCGGCTGTTGTTTGTCTAGGCTAGATCAACAGATACATGTTTGTTTCTGGATTTTAGTTTGGGAAGAAAATTATGCGGCGCAGTTGGTAGCGTGTAGCTAAGAATTTTTAGGCATTCTTCTGTATAATATATAGCTTATTCCCATTTGCGAGAAAAATTCAAATTTCTCATCGTTGAGATTTATTCGAGGAAGTAGTGAGCTTTCACGAGCCTTGTGCTAAAATTCTTTAAAACCTCCACTTTGATCACTGAGGGGCTGATATGGAAGGTATACTAAAATAGTCTATACCCGAACAATGAGGGACAGTCCCGTTGTGCAGCGTATGAAGATAAACATTTTCCGAAGAAAAGTCGCTTGAATACCTGGCTTTGCGCTGTCAGCTTTCAGCCAGCGGGGATAGGTAATTCGAATGATAAATGATTTTCAAATAGACAGCCCTAGCCAAGGTTTTAATATCAGGGGCTAAACGCTGTACAGCAGGAGGAACAATCTACAGAAAACGAAGGCCAAGGTTTATCTGACCCCTAGACCCCACAGTAAAGTATGGCATGGCAATTAGTTAATAAGTGTTTTAGTGTATGTTTAGGGGTTCCGCAACTGGTCGTTCCTAAAAATATTGATTGTCGTATGGCCGAAAACATTTTAGCTTCCTTAACCCATGGTCAAACGCGGTATGCCAAGAGGGCCCATTGGGCAATATCACCTGATCTGGTGGTATATTTGTGAAACTCACAGGAATAAGAACCAGCCATTTTCCGGCACCAGTACGGATTTTGGCGCACCAGTTGGTGGATAGACATGATGATTTTATTACGTCGTGGCATACACGTTAATGTGTGGTGTACTCCACTCTGTCGAGTCGTACATGTCTGCATCAATGCGAGCTTGGTTGTGGGAATCTAACAACCGGCGCACGCCACCCATTAGGAATAATTATGCGCTACCCTTTCGACAGCGTCTGCCACATCCAGATTGAAAAACCAGAGTGGGTGTGATGTATTGTTCTTTGGAGAAGTTAAGCTACTTCGCCATTTCGGCGCCAACCACTCCTAGCTGGCCGTCAGGCTTTTGAGCCAAAAGGTCTGCTTTGGAGCATCGTCTTGGACACCGTTCCTTTGTAAACTCACATAAAGCCATTGAATCCACAAAAGCAAATTTGTGTCCGATCAGCAGGCTGTTGGTGACGGTGACCAATGCGCCCTATTTGCTTCACGGGACAAGGCAGGTAGGAAAACCATGCGACCACTCACATCGCAATTTTTGTCTCCTTATTACTTATAACTTTCCTCAAGTCCATCTCAGTGCTGCTGCCTATATAGAATTAAGCTATAGGCACATTTCTTTGGTTCCTAGAAAAGGTGGCCAATGAAACCTAGCCAACCATATCTTCCCGTTTTACTTCTGCCATCTTGAATTTTACCACAACTTGAACAGTGTTGACTCTTAATCCAGGCAGGCCAGGGAGTTTAACCTGTGTGCGCCGGCAAGATTTTGCACACAGGTGCTTGCTGAATTTAGAACCTTAAAACACAATATTTTATGGCGGAATTTAAGTACGTAGCAACCTCATTTTCCATGTTGTACCGACTACGAAACATGGTGGTGATACAAGAGTGACTGGATTACGGTGATGACGTAGTTTTCAGACAGCTAACAGCGCCTTTTTTCGACTGGATGCCAAAACACGGCCAACTCTGAGCTGTTAGACTACAGACCTACTAAGGAAAACGATACTGATCAGAGGTATAGCAGCGCGTTTTCTGTGGTGCACGCTATAGTGCAAAAGGTTTTTGTGGCCTCAATCTGTCAAGAGTAATTTCCACCGATAATTGGCCACCATATTATCCATCTCGAAGAGTCCATTTATAACCACAACTACCGAAAACGTCGATGCACAGGTAGATGGTCTTGAATCCAACGGGTCACGTCTTAGTGGTACACCTTATTTGCGTGATAGTGCTGTTTAGCCGTGTAGTCGTGCATGCCCTCTCGTCTGTTGTGCTTCATTGTGCTTCTCTGCCCGCGCCGGTTTGGTGGTAAACACACCTACATCAGACAAGGCCCACCCCCAACGACACCGCCCTTTACCTAACCCCATGTGCCCACAATCCCGCCGGTCACGCTTCTATTCATGCCGTAACATTATGGTCACGACTGGCGGTATGCCACGCACAAGTTGGGAATAAACATTAGTATTTTCATTATTATCCCCATTTCGGGTTTTTCTTTTAGAAGTAAATTCAGAAACCTCAGTGAGAGCGCAATATTTCCCACTCAAGTTTCTCTTCCCAGAAATGACGATCTAGGCGACCGTTTTCGAACCTGGCAAACGACGAAGTGGCTGGCAGGTCGTCGATTTTCGAACAAGCGGCTGAAACTCAGTCTCGCGATCGGATATAATACCAACTTGACCACGGTTCTACCCAGGCTTTCGTAGCGAACTCCCTCAAGAATGTTCCATTGGTTGCGTACGAAGTAATCCATGCCACGAACTGTGGAAGGTGCGGAATCACCAAGATGACGTGAAGACACTGTATTCCGGTGTGGGAACCCGCGGCGTTTAACAAGAACCCGGAAACTTGCCGGTTACTTGCTTTCTGGGCAGCGCTACACAGACAAACTTTCACCGTTTTCTAGTTTTTTTTCGACCAGAAAACGGCTTATGTTTGACCTGTGTGAAGTAGTGTCGGGCTGGTTACCGGTTACCGACTCTCTACGTGTTGCAGGTTTTGATTCCATTTCTTTTAGGGAAGCCAAACCAGAAACTTGGCTTGAATTCCGTGGGTGGAGTCTACAGAGTAACCATATTTCGCGCATCCCTTGGAAACCTAAACCCGGTCAGGAAGTTGAAATGCTTCATAAGGTTGACTGAGGATTAATTTTACTGATGTCTGCTATCTCAATCACTCTACGGGTCTTAATCCTGTTGACTCGCCCCGGATCACCGTTCGTCAAGTCTTGGAGGAATAGTTGTATCATTCACTGGCGATTAAAGTTAGCGATGATAAATTCACGGAGTCAGCTACCCGCCTACTTCGAGGTGGCAGAGGTGACAGACTAACTTTCAAGTGTTATACTATGGGCACGCAAAGGAACCGAGTGAGTTTTACGGCAAAAGAATAGCAAACTTCAACAGCGTAACTCCGATGTAGAGGTAGCAGCCAAGGCCACCTCAACTAGTTCTCAGATCAGCATCCCTCCTGCGCTTGGAGCGGATCGGCAAGCAACAACGGTAGCTTGAGCAACCACAGGTTGCATGAAAAGTATAACATGACAAGCAGCATCCTATGTAGGATGTCTCCTGGGTTAGTTCATGTGATAACAAAAAATTACGCCAATTTGAGGTATGTGGCCCCATAAGCTGTACGGCAAATGACAACCTCCCGACTGGTCAGGATACAAGCCAATCGTAATCAAAGGGTTTTTACCCCTGCGCTTAACACCGCGTCATGCAAATTCCGACTTAATCCTGTGGGAAGCTATATGAGCACTCTTTAGATGCAGTTGTACTGAGCTTTCTTTATCCTCGTTAAGGTTGCTACAGGACAACGTGTCCTTGCATTCCTTGTAGGCCGGCAGTTGGCACGCTTCCGCGCCTGGGTGCAAAATCGGTGCAGAATCTGCGCGGAACTTCTGCACTGATAGAGGGCTTCTAAGCCGAGGAAGATCAGGACGTTCAAGAGACATCAAACTTTCTTTATTTGCCTCGCAATAATAGAAAAAATACACTGCATTTTCAGGTCCCTGCTACCGACCGATTTAAATGGCTTTGTTATAGTGTGCAACACCGTCATTCTCGGGAAGCTCTATTTACTTTCTGACTTCACTTATGGCGAGGAAGTAAGTTCTGTTGTACTGTGATGTGCTCCATGCCTGGTGTGTTTACGTGTTCGGAAATTGTAAACGATATTTTTCTCATTTCAAGTTATCGTTAATGCACCCAAAATTCGTTCCTATTCCGCGTGAAGGCTCTTCGAGAAAAACGTTATCTGGGATAGTACGTCAGACGGTTTCAGCGACCGGCTTTTCTCTGTCCGATAAACGAATGGTTCACAATGGCTTTGGTCGAATATCTGATGGCGGAAGTTTCCAGATACGCCGCATTTGAGTGTCTCGGGGGATAACCTAGCCTGAGCGTTACAACGCTGTTTGCCGGCGGTTTCATCAATCCATGTTATCGGTACTATGGCACTAGAAGGCCATCCACCACTTTGGTCCCTGGAGAACCTTTCGGTTACTCATCATCATCGTCATCAACGACAGCATGACATCAGTGCTCAACACCAATGCTTCACTGCCATACAACCATGACTTATTTGAAAGCCTTATTGTGAAGAAAAGAATAAAGGTGGATGGGCGAGGGACTTA